TATCCTTGCCCTGCTTCCATACCACGTATGATCATCGCAGTCCAAACCATATGGAAACATGCAAGGGTAAGCTAGGTAAAATAAACAACTCATATAATTAATTATGCAACACATCAACACATAAAATCATTTTCTCATTCAACACCAACAACAAACAACACATGAACTACACATCTTAACATCACTTCAACAACACAACATGAATCAACATTGTATCAACACATCAACACATATGCGTCGTCACACATTTTAACTCAAAGATCTCCGACAACACAGGGTGAGTAGTCTAAGTGGCTAGGTTCTACCGAACCGGCAAAACATAATCTTTTTGGGTTTGCTAGGTAAACAACAAATTTGGATAACAATCCACAACACAATAACGGTTTCTCAGACTTTTCCACTTAAACAAGGAAGTATAGTACTATGTCAGGATAGGACCGCTGGGTTTAGGTCTACCACGACATTAGCTAGTTTAACTAAGCCACCTATGGGATTAGCCTACTGACTATCCTCCGAATACTACAATCCTCCGTTGGGTTTAGGTCTACCACGACATTAGCTAGTTTTTGGGTGATTTTGATGCACCAGATGAGTGCATGAGGATCTGAGGATGTTTTTGGATTCTATAGAGTCTGGTTGTTGAATTTCATGTTGTTGGTTTATCTGAAATTGCAAGTGTTGCTAGAAATTTTTGAACTTGGTATGCTGGTTTTTGAATTCATGAAAAGCGTACCTTCATGGCACCAGGCGAGCATTCATCTAGGGGTGACCATTTCAAAATCACAATGGGCGCGAGGTTAGTCTCGTTGGGCGTGATTTGAAATGGGGGCCTCTAGATGAATGATGTCAGGCGTGAAGAAGGTCACGCTGGGCGCAATATCAAATAGTGACTTGTATGGAATTTTACTAATATGGCGCCGAGGGTATGGTTGGTTGCGTCGAGTGTGGATGCCCTTGGAAGTCTCTGACTTGGTTGTGCTAGCCGCAGGGATGACTACGTTAGGTGTGGATGCCACTAGTTTGGGTGAGTTTCCTCTAAGTTCTTAGCTAGTGTTGGAATGGGGTATGAGGTCGAGGATTATTCCCTTAACCAAGTATTGGGGAAGGTTGCGTGGTTCCTAGCGAATAGGCGATGGGCGAAATCTATAAGTGACTTGGTAATGCTTGCTAAGGTCGTGATATGCTTGTACCCAATTGTATTATTCCAAACAGTGGAACCGAACTTCCAAGTGTGTAAGTGACACTATCCGAGTAAACATCTAGGGGGATTTGATATCCCGGTTTTCTATTGACCCAGTACGGCGCTTCAGGTATAAAATTAGTCAGGGGTGATTTCGTTAGGATGAGATGTCACTTATATTGCTATGTTTTTACAAAGATCTCTTAGGTGAATGTGTGACGACGCATTAGATGGTTGATATGCATTGATATATGTCATGAGTTGTATTTACTAGATGATTAGTATATGATAGAGTGTATGATGTGACTCAATGAGAATGGTTGGTGATTTGATGATGGTGTAGCATAGATATTTATTCTTATGCTTACATGATTGTTTATTAAACTCTAATTTACCCTTCTGTTTCCATGTGGATGGACTGCGATGATCATACTGTGTATGGGAGCAGGTCAGGGTTAGGTTGGAGCTAGTTGTTGTGATCGTTGCGAGATGTGAAGTTTTTTCCTAGTGTCAGAGTTACTGTCTTTGGTAACTGTTTGGTTGTGCTTGACTGACACTAGGAGGGTATTGTTATTTTGGATGATTGTATATGCATAGTATTCCAATTTTTGTACATAGAGATGTGTTTTTAGTATTACTCTTATATACACATATATATATGTTATTATTCAATCTAATAGTTCCTCTTAGTTGATTAGTATAGCTAATATGATACCTCTGAGTGTAAAGACCATGACAGATCATTATATTATTAGATGAAACTTATTAAAAATGAATATATATACATATATATATAAAATATGTCTCATTTAGTATTTTTTTTCAATTCAATGATAAAATCTACTAAAATTTGTGACTTTCAACTAATAATGAAGTATTAAAGAGAGTATGTTTTTGTGCTATAGTGATGGAAATACTTGAGGAGGTGATTGATGTTCCTCTCCAAGCTCCACCTTCAAGTCCCAATCTAGCTCTTGAGGTCTTCAATGGTGACTTTGATGAAGCAAACACAAGCTCCAAAGCTTGTAGAAGCAACGTGAGAAGGTTCAGTTTCTTCCTTGAAGAGGAAGAAACTTGAGGAACCAAAGAACAAAGGAGGAATTCCTTTGTTGAGAAACTTAAGGGAGAAACTTCTTCTCCATGGTTTTGGACTCTTGAGAGAGAATTTCAGTGTAAAATTTTGATTTCATATACTTAAAAGTGAGGGAAAATGGAAGGTTTACAAATTTATAGAAGTAGGTAGCTTATGGAGCAAACTAACCTTAACCATGGTTCAAGAGAAACATGGTTTAGTTGCTTGACCGTCCAACCTAGTTTAGGAGGCTTGTGGAGCAAGCTAAGTTAGAAGCTTGTAGCACAAGCTTCCCAATGCTTTAAGGAAGGAGAAGCAATTCGGCCAAGGAAGGAACAAGGCAAGCTAGGCGGCCTTTAGACTATTTTGCTTACTAATCCGTTTCAAAAATGTTTGATTTGGTTTAGTTAGGTTTATCCAAAAATAATGAGACCTAGCTAAATTAAATCCTTGAAAAATTAGGAGCAAAACAAGTCTAATATGTAAAATTTTGCCTAGGCCCAATTCTGGCCCAATTACTAGTCACATCCTCAAGCATTGCTAATTGCCACCCCACTTCTACTACTGAAAAAATAGAAAAAGAGTAACCTTCAATACAAGGTTAAATGGAGTCTAAGTCTCCAAGTAACTTACCCTAAAAACAATATATAATGGTTTATAAAAATGAAATAAAGTGCTTCACAAATACAAAGACAAAATAAATCTATACAAAGTAACTATTATATTTACAAACATAAGAAATGGTCTTCAAAATCATCTCATTCCTCTTAATTCCTTTAATATATCACTTCTTGAATTATTTGACTTTGGCATATTTCTATCATATAGTGATTAATCAAACATGAGTTATTGGCCAACATTGATGAGGTTTGTTTGTTTCATAACAAGAGATGGCTAAAACAAAGGTATGAGAGCCATTGTTGTTCATTCATTATTAACCAGTAGAGTAAAAGAAGTAGTATGTGTCTCCGTGAGTTTTTGAAAAATAAAAACAATGAAAGTGGGTGACTGATTAAAAGTATGAGCAATTTTATGAATGAAATTTATAAAAAAAATGTTAAATAAAAATTGTTATTTAATATTATAGTTATAGATATATATGCATTATTTTAAGTTTAAGATCGTCTGTCCACGTCAATTAGCAATTATTGCTTGTCTCGATCGTATTTATATTCTTCTATGATTAATATGTGATTAACATTATGGCCATTACATATTCATCTATACTTGTTTCGTAGTGAGATGCCAAAAATATTTTGAATTCCTAATTTAAAAAATTGTATTTAATGTTGAATAGTGTCTCAAATAAAATTATTTTTAAAATATAATGCCTATGAAAAAACATGTATATATATATGTATATATATATACAAAAAGAATATGCCTTAATGACGTGATATAATTATTTATATATAGAATTAAATCTTTCAATTTTTTTATTCAAATAAAAAAACCATACGTTATATCGCCCTCTAATAATTAATATGTTTTTGTGACGTGACTGATTATTTATATATAGTAATTTTTAGATAAAGAAAAATAAATCTATGGCCTCAAAAATGTGAGTTTTAAAGCAAAAGACCAAAGAGCCGTTGGGTTATCCACCAACTGATACTTGAAGCCCAAACTCGGACCAATAAAGCTTTACTATATTGGTATTTTAGTAAATTAATGGCTAACTTTAATTTATTTAATTCCTTAATATAAATAAGTTAATATAAAATTAACGTGCTTAAAAATAATTAATAAATGAATAAATAACCGCGTTTTAAAAAATAAATATATAAATAAGGCGTTATGTCACACTCGATGTATTATTATTTGACTGTTTAAACTTCAAAACATTAGTGTTTCTAAAATAGAGTGCTTTTTTAAAAAAATTAGACAGACGTTTAAGAAAAAATTGCTTATTTTATCAAAAAATTCTAATTTTTTTAAAAAGAAACTAAAAAACCAATCTTAATAATTTGAATTAAAAAAAATTTATTGCATGCATTAATTTGGGAGGGACCGGTTTATCAATAAATACAATTTATACAAATGTATAAATAAATTTACTAAATCATTGACTTGAAAATACCATTTTTTTTATATAAAATCTGCTTTATTTTTTTTCTGACGTTAAAAATGAATAAAGATAATATAAAATCAACTTAGGACAAAAGCAAAGAACTTGAAAAATCAACATTGAAAAAATTGTCATTGCATGGGTTCTAGTTGAGTTTTTACATGATACATTTTTTTGTTATGATGATGACAAAGTAACAATGAAAGCAACCAATGATTTAGCTTTCTATTTCATAGTTTCATGTTTCTTACTGAGGTTTTTTGTAAAGTTTGTCTTAATTTTGTTTTTGAATCAGTGTATGTGATCCTTGATTTACGAGTTAAATATACTTATCTGTGAACTTGTTTTGTTCAACAGTTTTGCTATATGTTCCTTTAATTATTCCTCGTTTCCATTTACCGAACCAACTTCTGAGATGCAAGCAAATATAAGAGTCATTCACTTTGAAATAGCCATCAAAATTAGTTATTTATACACTTTTGCAACCAATATCATTGCCATTATATTCAACAAAAACATGTAAATGCATACCACTTGCACCCTTTAGCATCAAATTTTCCCTATCCCTTTCTCTCTACAAAATTATTCGAGAGAAGTGAAGAAGACTATATTTACTTTTAATACCCAATAATTAATGCAATGAAGGGGAAAATTGAATTTATGGTTATTCACTCTAGTAATGTAGCATAAATATTTTTTTATTCATCGAAATCGAATTTGGTACCAAGAGGTATCCAATAACTCACACATTACTCAATCAATTGAGGTAGACCTCATGGGACTGTAGAATCACTATCAATACTGGCAAAAGGTTTTAACATGAGAAAATCTGAAAATTTCTAAGTTGTTCTTAGTCCTAAACAGTTGAAAATTCTGTAGGTCATCTAATAGGCTTGCATCAAACATGGACAAGAGATCCGAATTGCTGTGTCCAGTAAAAATGCTTCCAGTCTTCAATATCCACCATGGCTGCTAAATCATGTAAAAACATTGGGATAACGCATGTTTGATATGTATAAAATGTTTAAGTTTCCATGGCCTGTGCTGCTACAAAGATGTTGCTCCCAATCTTGACTTTGTATAGCCCAGACTAATGAGTTTCCTTATCAATATTTTCTCAGCTTCTGTCTGCAATCCATGAAAGTTGCCATAAATAATCAAATAATAGAGAATTTAAATATAAAAAAATGAAGCAAGTAAAGTGAGAATAGCAATTGAAAAAGGGTAATTACTGGAAAATTTTAAAATCAATCATAAGCTACAAGCATTTTATTTTATTGCAATCCACTGCCATTTACATAATGCCAATGCCTAATACTAGGTAACACTAACAGCACATGGCAGGCATGACATTGGCTTACATTGTTACTATGAGTCTTTTTAAATAATTCTTTCCAAAAAGTACTTATAAGAGAAAAAAAATAAAAATTAAAACTAGAATAAGTTTTTCATAAGCTAAAACTAGCTTATATAAAAATAAGATTTTGAAGAAGCTAATAGGAAAGAGCTTCTACAAATTAGTCAATGCATGAATTAATTTTAACTTATGAATAAACTTATTTTATTTTTCTGTCTTATTTTTCTAAGTTACACGTGCTCATGGAGAAGCTTACCTAAACAAATCCTATATAGAAGAGCATGTGGTAAGAACAATTCTTATATAACAAAAGGAGGAGACTATATTATTAACAACAAAGTAGAGGTAAATACAGAAAGTAAGAGCAAATGCTCCCAGCAATGGTAAATCCCTATGGCCCCTAGCTATAAACCCAAACTGAAAATGAAACATGCATACCCCTCTCTCCCTCTGAACTATCCAATATAACAGGGTTACCATCCTCTTTCTCCCCTAACAAACTTTGCCTCTTATTTGTTATTTACAAGTTAGTCCCTCCCCTAAATGGAGAATTGGTCCAGAATGGAATCCAGGAACCTATCGGTATGTTCAAATTTCTATGTATTAGTAAATTAACTGAGTAATTGAATATGCAAGAGATGTAAAATGATTACATATTTAATTTACTGTCAAATTAATGAAACTATATCCAAGTAGAAAATTGGAACAAACAACAATATAAATTAATACTTATGTTTCTGTTGGGATACTACATTCCTGTTTTGAGAAAGTATACTTAAATATAGATACGAATATTCTTTTACAGCAGCAATTCTAGAAATAAAGCAAAAAATATAACATATAGCAGCAAGAAAATCATTTAGAAAGGGCATAACTTCCCTATACTAAGTGTTAACATACATATGTGAGAATGAGTGAGAGAGAGCAACCAGACCTCAATCATGGGGCTATTTTTTGGAATACTGCAAGACAAAATTACGTTGAGACCAGTCTTTAACACTGCGAGAAAAAAAAGTAAGTTAACCACTTATCCCATGAACCAGAGGAATAACATTTTTAACTATCAAACACGACAATAGTTACCTAATCGATGAGCAATGCCGGACCCTGTATTATCAGAAACCCCTCCAAGTATGGAAGTGACAGATACCATATTGTTCTGTGTGAATCACCATAGATCACAATCCATACACAATGTTTTAACATACTCATAATGCACTTAAAGGACTGAGACAACTTACAGGACGAGTAGTAGCTGCTGCATACATGTGTCCCAATTTTGCAGTGTTGTAACCAATCCACACATATATCTACCATAACCATTCGTATCAAAAGAAAGTTTGGAAGGGGAATAAAGGTTTGTTTGGATAAACTATTCCAGAAGCACTTCAAGAGAGGAAAAAATAAAATAAGCTTCTTTATAAGCTAATTCATAAAAGTTTTTTCCTATTAATTTTTCCAAAATCTTGATTTTAACTTATGTATGAAATAGTTTTAGCTTAAGGAGAAGTTTTATCTAATCATACCCTAAAAATTAAAGTATTGAAAGACAATAACTTTCAATAGCACATTCATATTGGGTGAATTGGTCTAAGCCTATTTTGTGAGTGACCCAAATGAAAAAACATAATTTTTTTTTCTGGGTTTCTTTTTTTTTAAAAAAAAATGGGTGTATTGAAACATGAATAAGAGAGATTGATGTGGGGAAAACCTGTTTGGGAAATCGAATGATCTGAAAATGGAGGCTAACATCATTGATGAGTTCAGAAAAGGTGATGATCTGCAATTGCCCTTGTGCCTGGGTTTGCACATTTCCATTCTCCTCCTTCAGCTTCAACTCTTCAATCTTCTTCTCCAATCCTTCAGAATCCATCATTATGACGCAAAACTGCAAAACCCTAAACCCAACACTGAGCTTCCCAGGACACATACATATGCAACACAAAAAATCAATGTTGAGATTGCAATATTTTTCTAATTTGTTCTACATATTAGAAGATTATTAAAAATAAAATAAAATTATGGTGAGTTACATGAAGCAGATAATTGTTACCGCTATGCTCTATAGTTGATGGTATTTGGACCTTAACCACTGTTTGTACTCCTCCCTTCTCCAATTCTAACGCTGTCTCCTCTGTTTCTGAGACTGTAAAATCTTCACAGCAGGATTCCTCTTCTACTTTGACCCTTGAAAATTAAAGTGCTTCCCCGTTTGCAGTGTTTTAAAAGACCGGTGATCACCTATTAAACCACATGACCCGGTTTCTATTAAAAAAAATTAAAAAATTATTTATTATACATATTTCATACCTATAAATTTCAAAAACAAAAAAAAATCACATCATACCTTAAAAGAAACTCCAAAAAAATTACAAACCCATTTTAACATTTTAACATTGTGGAGATTCAGAGTTGGTTTAACTATAATTTTTGGCAACGAGATGATCAAAAACCAAATTTTAAAAAAAATAATGTAAAATTAGCCGTAATAATATTTGATTCATGATACCAAACAGTTCAAGATTAGCTAAACAGTTGAGATTCTAATTAAGGAGCCGCCGACCTTTTGGGGATTTGAGGAATCATAGCACACATACAGAACAACTCAGATAGTCGGCGCTACCTCCTCTTCTAATTCTCTTTATTTCTTTTAATCCTTTTTTTTTTTACAATTATCATAATATTTTAGAAAATGCTACCAATATCTTAAAGAATCAAAAAAATCGCACATTTTTCTGTGATTTTATAATTTAATGAACCTTATAACTTGAAGCAACGGCGTGGTGGTGCGACGAGGCGGCGGTGCGGTGGTGCGAGTATGCAGTGGTGCAGCGGTGCGGCTGTGCGGCTGTGCGGCTATGCAGCAGTGCGGCGGTGCAGCTGTACAGTGATGCGACGGTGCGACGAGCGACGTGCGACGTGCGGGAGGGTTGGGTTCTGAAAGAGGAAGCTTAAGCGCAGCGTGCAGCAAATGAGCAGAGGCATTTAAAAATCGAGGGTTTTATTTTTTAAATTAAAGAAACGACGTCGTTTAATTATTTTTTTTCGAAAAAAGTTATGACCTGGTTTGGGTCATGAGACTCGCGGGTCGATGGTTCAACCGGGATTTTAATCGGGTCATACTGAGTCATACTGAATTAGCTCCACATCCGGTCTGATCGCTGGTTCAGCTCGGTCAAACCATCAGTTTCCGATTTGACCGGTTTGACCGGCTAGTTCGAATCGAGTTTTAAAACACTGCCTGTTTGTGTTAAAATTAAAAAAAATGACTTTTAAAAATAGGAATTATATTTTAAAAAGTAGTTTTTTTTTTTTTACAAATGTGTTAAAATAAAATATAAAAAAATAGATATTTTTACCTTTATATAAAAGCATTCTTTATTATGACTTAAACATTATTTTTAAAATTTTTAACTTTTTATAAACTTGTGTGAATTATATGATAATAATTAATCAGAGATAAAAAGATTTTTTTTTATAAAAATTTTATCTTTGAAATTGTGGATAATGATATACTATTCCAGTATTCCTATTAATATGTGTATTAAAAAAAGACACAACTTCTTTTCTACTAGTTTTATTAAAATAAGTATCTTTTTCTAATAAAGAAACACATTTTTATTTATATTAATAAGATCTTACAATGATGTGTAAATGAATAACTTTTGTAGTTTCAGAAGTGTAGATAATTCCACATTAAACTAGATTTGTTACTCATGTGATATCCAGATTATTTTAATAACCTGTGTAATATGATATTCAATTTTTTCCCATCATATAATAGTTGTATGATTTTTCTTAATTATTTTTCTGAAATATTAGTTTCTTTAATTAATAAGAACATTGCATTACTTTTTATATTGTATGATTTGATAAAATTATATTTCAATTATAATATATATTTTAAAAAATTAATTTCATTTAATTAATAATTTATTTCAAAAGTGAAATATATTCATTTAATAATAATACCATAAATCAATCTATTATGATAAGAACTCGTAGAATATCATGCTAATTATGAAGATGGTGAGAATATTCAATACGTTCTATAAAACAAAAATATTAGTCAACCTTGATTTAAATTACATCAAAATATATATATATATATATATATATATGCTAAGTAAACAAATATTTACATATTACACAAAGAATTTTTTATGTGAATTTTGTATTATGCATGGAACGACTAGCTCTCAGAATTAATGAACTGAACAGTGAGGGCAGCTGGAACCCAATCCATCTCTCTCCAGGAGGACTACCCATCTCGCACCTCCTCTTTGCAGATGACGTCATACTTTTCAGCCAAGCAACAAATGATCAAGTCCAAGTAATGGCTTCTGTGCTAGAGAACTTTTGCACCGCATCGGGTCTCAAGATAAATCTAGAGAAATCAAAATTTGTGGTCTCAAAAGGGGTGCCCAGCGCGAGAATTGAGCAATTAGAACAGACACTGGGTATTGAACATACACCTCGATTTAAAAGATATCTCGGGATACCAATGTTCCATGGGAAAGCCAAGATTGCAGATTTCCACCATGTAATTGACCGTATTAATGACCGCCTAGCGACTTGGAAGGGACGTCTTCTTAACAAAGCGGGTAGGTTATGTCTCATCAACTCAGTCGTCACATCTATCCCTCTATATAGCATGCAATCTCTTTGGTTACCCCAAGCAGTTTGTAATAGGATCAATCAAGCCAGCAGAACCATGCTTTGGGCCAAGGCGGGTTCATCACAATATTGGTCTTTAGTAGGCTGGAATACTGTCACTCGCCCGAAAGAGTTCGGAGGGTTAGGTATCAGGGAGTCTCGACAGGTCAACATCTCTCTCATTGGTAAATTGATATGGGACCTTCTCCACTCACCGCAAAAACCTTGGGTCAAGATTCTGCAAGCAAAATATTTACATGGGGCATCCGTATTGCAAGCGAAGAAGGGTAACGGTGCATCTCAAGTGTGGAACAGCATTGTCAAAGCCTCCCCTATTTGCGACAAGGCTTCTTTCCAAAGCTTGGTGTAGGTAACTCTTCTCTTTGGTATGAAGATTGGTTAGGCACAGGGCCTCTTTGTAGAGAAGTGTCATATGTCCACATAAGTGATACCGATAGAATAGTTGCACATTGCTGGCAACAAGGAGCTTGGAAGATCTTTAAGGCAATAGGAATGTCAATGTCATTAATAGTTTTAGGATTAAGAACGATATTACCTAGGGAAAACTCATTTTCTAGAGCCTGGTTGGATTCATGGCTTTGCCTTGGATCTGTGCTGGACTCCACTCCCTTCCTTCTCTTCCTGAAGTACGTCATCCAGTTGTCTCCTTGTGTGGTCGGGCTTTGCTTTTGCTGAGATGTAATCCTCTCTCTAGCTTCAATTGGTGCAGTTTCTATTGCATTTTCCTATTCAATTTCTGTTGCAGGTGGAGTCTCGGCTGGTTCTGCATTTGGGACAGATTCGGTTAGTTCAAATCCCAAAAATTCTGTTGCGTTTCCTGCATTTTCTACTACAGTTTCCTGAACGATATTACCTAGGGAAAACTCATTTTCTAGAGCCTGGTTGGATTCATGGCTTTGCCTTGGATCTGTGCTGGACTCCACTCCCTTCCTTCTCTTCCTGAAGTACGTCATCCAGTTGTCTCCTTGTGTGGTCGGGCTTTGCTTTTGCTGAGATGTAATCCTCTCTCTAGCTTCAATTGGTGCAGTTTCTATTGCATTTTCCTATTCAATTTCTGTTGCAGGTGGAGTCTCGGCTGGTTCTGCATTTGGGACAGATTCGGTTAGTTCAAATCCCAAAAATTCTGTTGCGTTTCCTGCATTTTCTACTACAGTTTCCTCTTGTGCAGGTGCAATATTGGTTGGCAGATTCAACTAGCTCAAATCCCAAAAGTTGAAATTCTACCACTTCAATTGGATAATAAGTCTACTCCCCGTGAATGCTAACTTTGGGGTAATAAGGCTGATTCTCAAAAAAAATGACATCCATAGTGTGGTAAAGTTTTCTGGTATGGGGTGAATAGCATTTGTACCCCTTTTGGTGGGGGGAGTAGCCGAGGAAGATGCATTTGATGGATTTTGGGTCAAGTTTGTTGCGATGAGGATTGAGGTTGTGGATGAAGGCTAAACATTCGAATATTTTCAAGGGAATGGATGTAAGGATACGACTGGTAGGATATGAGGTTTGGAGAGTAGAATAAGGGGTGTTAAAGTTGAGGATTCGGGAGGGCATTCTATTTATGAGATAGGTTGCAGAGAGGACAGCTTCTCCCCAAAATTGGTTGGGTACATTTGTAGTTAACATGAGAGATCTGGTCACTTTTAGGAGATGTGTATTCTTTATTTCGGCAACTCCATTCTGTTGAGGGGTATCTACACATGAATTCTGATGTATGATTCCATGTTTCTGAAGGTAGGAATTTAGTGCAGAGTGATAATACTCTCGGCCGTTGTCACTTCTAAGCACCTTAATTCTACTTTGAAATTGTGTTTCCACCATAGTATAAAATAACTTAAATATTCTGCCAACTTCTGATTTATCCTTCATTAGGAAAACCCAAATGACCCATGTGTGATCATCAATGAAGGTGACAAACCATCTTGATCCAGTGACATTGTTTACCCGTGATGGCCCCCATATATCACTGTGAATTAGGGAGAAAGGTTGAGAGGGTTTATAGGGTTGAGGCAAATAACTTTCACCAAAGGAATCTCCTTACCCCTAAGTTGCTTCACCAATCAGTCCTCAACTCTCACCAGGGTAGCTTCCACAGTTAAGTTCTCCTTAACCTCAAGATGATCCGACTCAATCACATGCGAAGGATCATGGATGTATTTTCGAAGTTGGGAAACGTGGAAAACATCATGGAGATTTGACAGATTAGGAGGCAAAGCAATTTGGTAGGCAACACTATCGACTCTTTTTATAATTCCCTTTGTAATTTTCTTTTTTTTTTCCTTGTCTCTTCGCTCTGTTTAATTTTCTCACGAGATAAAAAAAAACACTTATACAAACTCATCACTTTTAACAAATGGATCTTTATAAGGAGAATTGTCTGATCAAAGATATTAAGTAATTATATATTGAACTATTTTTATTTAATTTTTATAATTTCATAAAAAAAAACAGTAAATATAGTATTTTGTTATATAAATCTATGATAATTTGGATATAAAATTTATAAATATCTAACTTTGATATTAATCTTTCTTCATATATACTTGAATATTTTCATATTATAAAATTTTATCACAAATAAAATATTTTAATATGAAATTACAATTAAAGAAGACATACTTATCATAATAACTTAAAAAATAATTTAAAAATTACCTTCTCATCGAGCACTAACATATCAATATTAGAGAGATTATTGTATTCCTATGATCACTATAAAAATATTATATAGGTTAAGTCTCCATTCAATTTTTTCATAACAATGTTAATTATAAAACTTGTCCTTAATATCATTGTTTAAGGTCTTTAGATTCATGATTTATCGCGAGACTTTCATGATTTCATATGATCTGACGATCAATTTCATTAAAAATGTAAAAATAAAATACAAATTTAAAAAAGCAAACATAATAACCTTATTCTTTTCCGCATTGAAACAAATGAAAAAAATAAAACATAATATAAATAATAATGAAATAAAAAAAATAACAATATAATAAAATAAGAATTATGTGATAAAAAAAATAGAGATAAACATATGCAAGAATATAGAAATATTTCTATAGTTGTACTTCAACAAAAAAATATTATAAATTGATTTATTTTTGTATTATTTTATTTATTTTTATAAAACATTTATATAAATAAATTAATATTTCAGTAACCACTAAGTGCACAGTGATACTTAATTTGAAAATTTTCAGCATGTCATCGACTCTTTATATAATAGTTATGAGGTTTCTTCTCTTATTTACTATTTTACTCGTAAAAAAATAAAAATTGCTTAATAAATACTTTTGCACCCAAAAATTCTCTTTACTTTAGATCGGACATCATCCTTTTCTAAACTTTTATTTTCTAAAATGAAAAAGAAATAGAAAGATAAAAATTAATAAATATTTAAGAAAGAGATAAAAAAAAATAATAAATATGATAGATAATGTTACTAAAATATTAGAAAATTTTTGTGATATATTTAAAAAAAAATACTTATTAAATATTGCCAAATGATAAAACTAAATTCATGTCATAAATTGAGTTTAATTTTTATTCATTATCAAAAAAATATATATAATCACTACTTACTTAGATAAAACTTTAAAATAAGTTTTTTTTTAATTAATAAATTTACTATATGCAACAATATATCATTAGAAAAAAGTATAATCTTTTCCCATTATTATTACATTTTAATTGCATTCGATCTATATTCCTGAATGAAGTTAGCTTTTGTCCATAAGAATACCTTCTAACCAAAATAAGCATTATACAAGTTCTCCCTATTAAATATTATTTTTTGTCAAAACATAAAAACTAAAACGAATATAAAATATAAAGTCCCACTAATCATTTCAATAGTTAATTGACAAATTGACATTTTGAATAGTCACTATTTTCATGACAATGATTGATGAACCTTCATCCTCGTTAATTTTTCTGCATATTAATGAGTATATGGTCATTTCTATCCTAAATTTAAAAGACGTTATTATAATAATTTTAAATTTAAAAATATTAAATAAGTCTTTAAAAATAAAAATCAATAATAACAATAATTCAAAAAATATATATAATATAATATAAAAATAAAATAATAATATTGATACATAATTCAGACATCAAAATATTAATACGTAATTAAGTTTTTAGGAATATATCTGACATGAACTTATTTGAAATTTTTAAAGACTAATGTGACTATGATTAAAATAACTAATTTTTAACAAAATAACTATTTATTCTAGATTAACTGTATTTAAATTTAATTTTTATATAACAGGTTTTACACATGAGGAAGAGATAAAAAAAAAAAAAAAAAAAAAAGAAGAAAGTATATATAATAAGATCAATAAAGACATGATGAAAAAACTGTAAAACTTATATAAAAAATGAAATCAGAATAAATTAACCATTTTTTATTTTGTATTTCGCCATACTTGTATCTCACTCTCTCAAATAAAATATATACAGGTCTTTGAAATAAAAATGAAATTCAATATATTTTTGGTTCCTACAAAATCTAACCATTTTAATTACAGTCCTAATATTTTCTTCTCTTTTTTAATCTCGTATTTATTTTCCACCCATATTAGTCACAGAAGTTTAAAATATTGCCCTTTTTATTTCTGCTTATTTCAACAGGGATTAACTGATATTGATGACAAAGTATAAATGGGACTAAAATAATAGACAACAAAATATGAATACTAAAACCAAAACTTTGAAATTTTATAAAACCGAGAAACACATTTAATCCTTAAAAACATATTATTCCATACTATGTTATGATTTCATTCACTCATCCTTAAAGAGATCTCACGCACATCACATGTTGAATTTTGATAGTGTACTGAAAAAAGCTGTCATAGATCAATAAGCTTTGAGTCTTCAATTTTTGAGTTAATAATTTTACAAGTACGACAACTGGAAAGTTGGGTCATTCTGCCGACAAAATTTCAAGCAAAAACGAGGGTCACAAAGATACATGAGGGCAACCACAATTTGAATATCATTTTCAAACACCACAAGCATCAGGTATCCCATTGTAATGCAATTAATATAATATATAATTATATAACATGAAAAATAAAGCATGTCAAATCAGTTTATAATTAAAACAATGCCTAATTTCAGAATTTTAGCATAAAAAATTATCAAACAAAAAGTACCAATTTCATCTCTTCATGAAGTTAAAATTTAGACCGAAGCATAACAATTAAACCACTAGATTGAAATAAATAAAGATAGATATATGCAGACTTAAATTCAATTTTTGTTATTGTCGTTATAATAATAATAAAAATAAAAATAAAAAAAAAGACAGAAGCATAAAAACAAAAAAGTGACTAGATTTAGAAAGTTGCATTCATTAACTTAAGGAATAATTAAATAACTGGGCTTCCCAACCAGGAGACCTGGATATACAGAGGCCAATCTGTCTCCTATCTATTGACAAAAACCATAATTCAGAAGGGTAAATCAGAAATGATGCATTCTACACAGGCAAGTAATTACAAAGAACAAGCATATGATATCATTATAAATCCTACTGCCTAAAAAGAATGAGTGGAATAGGGGTGCATTTCACTCAGCTTCCCCTTTCTAGTTCTTTTTTCAAAAGGGTACTCTAAAATAATCTTGTATTTAGCTTTTCACTTTCCTATTGCATGGTTTGTTAGCTGCGTACGTCCAATATGGGATAACCTTGATGATGAAATTAGTGGTGCTTCTTCATCAATGTTCATGTCAGAAGCAGAACCATTGCCTCCACTGCTTCCCTCATTGTCACCGATGTTATCTGGCACATAAATATCAGAAGACTTCTTTTCGAATTTCCAGTCCTGCATGTCATACACAATTTACTAAAGAGCTCAATGAACACTTTAACAAGACCAGAGAAAGAAACTAAACACTGAAATAACCTTGTTAAAACAAATGTTGACTGTTCTCACAGTAACAGTTTTGCATTTTCTTAGAACACAACACTAGTATCTTAATCGATATTTTATGTTTAAACAATTGTATCTTATATTTTTTTTCCCATTGAAGTTGACATATGTGACACAAGGGTATTTTAAATTTAAGCTTATGTGGCACAAAGGGTATCTTATATAAGATACAGTAGCTTATAAAAAAATATTTAAAAAAATCATTTTTACACCACCAAATTAAGAAAAAGAGGGGAAAAAAATCAGTAAATCATATTTAGAAGATTTGGTAAGGATTGCTTAAAATTTTACCATTGGAGTAAAAATATAACGAGTCGCTTATGGATTGCTTAAATGTGATGTGACGATGTGAGACCCGATAAATTAAAGATACATGGTTGTTAAACAACTTGTATTGTAAATGCTCTTAGTAGGATTATACATTTATATTATACTAGAAAGTAGAAACATGTTAAAGATATTAGGAGATGAGACCTTTGAGATCCGATCAGGTATACTTTCAACAGGCAATTGAGAGGCACGGACATCCTTAACTTTTATGTAATTGTACATCACAACTCCACATAGTGCTGCAGGAAAAATATCAAATGGTAAGAGGAAGGAGGGAAGATTGAAATTTGAAAAGAATATCATGATTCAAACAAAACTTACCAATAGCATAGCCAATGATATTCAACCCGGTTATTGTAGATTCAGGAAATATAACAGTTGAAAGAGCTATCAATATCCAGTCTTTAAGCACACCAGCGACCCGGATGGTTACAGCACCAGTTCTACCAATGACTAAGAAAATGGAGAAATTCAAGGCTAGAGCACATACTGCATTGGAAAAGAAGATCCAAAAATTAAACTGAATCTGTGAAACTTCCATCACAGGCTGCTCCAGTAGGTACCAAGGCACAAAGAGAAACACAAAACTGCATATAACAAAGAGCCAAAGTTAGCAACTCACATGGCAAAGCGGCATGCAAGGTTTGTTGATAAGCATGCATTGATACCTTTAAACAATTGTGTATTAAAGAATAGATTGATAGAACAGTATTTACATATGAATAGAAGTTACTACACGAGTCCAGATGATCGTGAATCAATCAGATGGTTAATATTATATGCCATATTTTCTCTTTTGGTTCAGTATTTACGACACTTGTACAGAACACAATGGTGTGTCTTAGAGAAAACTACTTCAAAAATTAATAAAAATACCTGCACGGAGCTATGTAATATAAGCTTGTAATAGGATTTAATGTCAACCCCTTTTTCTGCAGAAGAACTTGCGTTAAGACCAGTCTTAAAGCTTCTGCAAAGATGCCTGTGACCTGGTAAACTGTACCAACTATATTAAAATGAATTTCCCCATAGGAGGAAATGACAACTCCAACACTGACCAGCAACATGTTCGAGAACACATCACACCTTGCTTTGTCAGTACCGCACAAAACAGCCATAAGGAAAGTTGCCACCGGCACTGAAATATCAAGATTTAGAATTAAGGAAATTGAGCTCAGATAGTAAGAGAAATATGTGAAGTTCATAAAAACATACTCAGAGCTTTGAGCATCTGGATAAAAGCCACAGAGATGTGCAAGTAGGCAGTGTTACCAAACCTGCATCATCCAAAGACATTACATATTGCTCGTACATATAATTGTCTCTTCAAAACTATTGAAAATGATATTATTTAATTATTAGCCATGTGAAAAAGCATGTGAAAAATCAAAAAGACAGAAGTATTTGATACCAAAGTAATGTTTCAGTTTTAGTATCATACAAAAGAAGCATCCATAGAAATTTCATACTTTGAAATTTGAATTATATATATATATATATATATATATATATATTAGGAAGGATCTACTTACAAGAGTAAGTCTACCTTACTTCACTCAATAATTCATGTTCTACACTAAATTTCAATGATTTAACTGTTGAATTAAAAAATTTTAATGCATAAATCAAGTCTGCAAAGTTTTAAAAAATATGAGAATTATTCAATACCTCGTTTCATTAATTTAAATTGATAATAATCATAAAAATAATTTATACGTTGATTTGAATTAACGACACAGAATATCAAATAATTTTCAAAATTTTTAAAAATTTTGCAAATTAGATATATATATATATATATATATATTCCACAAAATGAACAATTCAAAATATTGAAAAGTGATAATGGACAGTTAACTTTAATTTATGGCAATCATATTATAATAGCTTCAGGCCAAGAATTATAATAGCCCACAGGAAACCAGCGAACAATCTATTGTCTTCACTAATTGGCCTTTCATTGAGTACAGAATGCAGAGTAATTCTAGGCACCGAATGATAATTATGATTATACTATATTCTCTAAGGAGGGTTGACAATTGAAAACATTGAACTTCATAGTAATAATATCCATCTAACAGGTTGGCATAGTGGATGCTAGAATAACAACTCCATGCTTATAAAACATTACTATGGACTATTGGGAAATCGTTTTACAAAGCTGACGGTATAAGAAGTAGTACTATCCTCAGGTGGGGGTTCCATGAGCAAATTTCCAGCAATTAAGCATAACTGCTTACGCTGATTCATGCATCATCAATGTTCCTTCTAGAACCAAATTGAATGAACTAAACTTCACAAATTTTGCATGTTATTAATTCAATGGTGCGACATTTCAAACGTCACTGAATCTTGAACATGGCTAACCAAGTTAACTTTTCACATCTCAGAACATAAGAGAAAAGAGAGACATAAGTAATCCAACAATGGCCAAATAAGCACAATTAAGAAAAACATACACAAGAGGCATGTCCCAATCCCATTAATAAAATCTGAGAATCATGTTCTGAAAAAGTACAGCTAGCCCATGTTTGCAGTGCTTACCAAAGACTTGATGCAAAGAAAGCACTTATTGGTACCACACAAGTTGCATATCTGCCACAGAAGGAACTGTTTTAGAAAGAAGATTGACAAAGGAAAAGTAGAGCTCAAGAAGGATTTAAATCAATGGCAGACTCACATTTCAAATGTCATTTTGACGGGAGTCACAATCTGCAATAACAAGACAAAAGAGTATTGGTTAACATACCAACCAAATAATCAGACCATGAAATGTAATCAAGCAAGGGAGTGGTGGATGGAAAAAGTTCAAGCATAGAGGATAGGTTTTACATATGGTTTGGAGTATAAAATCCTAGTGAGTGCAAAACATCTGTGCATGTGCTCATATTAATAAATAAATAAATAAAACAGAAAGAAGATCATCTGTACTACCCAGAAATTCATAAATCATAACATTCTCCTGTCTACCATACCGTGCATTTGCTTCCTAATTCCTATTGTTTGGCATAAGTTACACATAACAAAACACATTTAAAGAAATAACCCATCACATACCAACTTGCACTTAATGTCAAACACTGACAAATCTATAACATTGCATTGGATGTGTTATTACTTATTAGCCTTAATAATTTGACACATCATGCATACAAGACACATTTATGGAAATAAAAGATCATCGAAAAAACTCTTGTATTTAATATTTCGTGAATGTTGTTGACTGGAAAAGGAAATCAATAAGTTTCCTTTTCACACTTATTTAGGGTCATTTAAATAATAATTAATCATCCATACACTGTTAGTGTAAATTTTTTTACACCGGCAACCAATCATATCTTTTAAATTATTTTATTTTATTTTTATTTGATTAAATGAGCAAATGACATGGCACAATTAAGAAATATGATTGGTTGCCAGTGTAAAAAAATTTTACACTAGCAGTGGGTGATTAACTCTTTAAATAACGTAACCAATTAGCATCACTTATTTATGGTCTTCCTCCCTACAAAAAATGAAGATATTGGACTACTGAGGTTCGATGGCCAATACAAAGCTAGCTGAGATCTCACAAAACAAATCATATAATATATTAAACACCCTGAAATAACTCCTCCTGAAGCTAAATGTACCAATATTGAAGACACTAAATGGAACTAATAAGTTACTATAACTAAATTAAATCGATTGTCACCACTGAAGGAATCCAGTGTACACAATGTTAACCCTCCAACACACACAAGAACACAACCATCGCTCTCATCTCACACACGTGAGTAGCACTAACCAACAAAAGACGTGACATGACATGCCAGCTTGACGAGAATCAAGGTGTTACAGACGTACACGTCCACGAATCATCAACAACAATCACACACAAATAAACAAAAACTAAATAAACAAAACGAAGATTTTGCACAAAGAAAGTAGCAAGTAGAAGAAGATGGGTTACCTTAAAGACCCTCACGAGGACAAATGCAACCGCCCCAGAAAACCCCATGTGGATCATGGTGAGCGTAATGGGGAGGGGAAAGTTGAAGTATTTGGGCGAAAGAACCCACTGCCCCAAAACATGAAAAAATCCATTTTTTTCAGTGAAAAAACATTGTCAAGTGAAGAAAACGAAGAAAAGGGAAAATGGGTACCTTGTTGTACAAAATGACGCCGGAAGAGAGCAAGATGTAGATGAACAAGTAGACATAAGTGAGGAAGAGCCACGATTTGAGGAGGAGGCGGAGGGATTTCTCGCTGGGTTCCATTGCACAACGCGCGGGAGATGAGTTTGTGTTTAAATTTTTGAATCTGTGGGGTAGGGTACCCCCGAAGAGGAAAGAGAATGAGAAGAAGAAGAAGAAAAAGAGGGTACCCAGAAGAGGATATGGAATTGCAAATTGGTTCCAAATCTGAGAGGAAGGAAAGGAAGTGGGTGTGAACAGATAAACGAGATGGGTAATTGGGGAAGTGGCAGAAGAAAGTTACCACTTTCGAAACAAAGTCATTAATGGGAGCTGATTCCTACCATGTGCGATGTGCCTCTTCTCTCTCTCTCTTACTATTCTCATTCTTTTCTCTGCACCAATTAAGACAAAAATATCCATGTAGAGTTCAAGACAATAAATTATCGAGGTATAAACTAAAGAAAAATTACTACTACACTATTTTTTTTTTTTTGTTGATAAATTACACTTATGCTTCTTAAAATTTCATAAAATTGTATAAATATTTTTTTTTCTATTCTATGATAACTTCTTTTAATTCTTTAAGAAATATTATACTAACATTTTTTCTACATTACTTTAATTTCTGTTCAATTATTTGAAAATATTATATTATAACCTTCTCTTAAGGAAATTTATATAAGCTTTTTTTAAAAAAAATAGGGATATTAGTATAATTTCATAGAATTTCAGGAGTTTCGGTCTACATTACTCTTCTTTTAAGAGTAAAACATCGTTCAAATCTTTGAATATATATATACACATACGTTGTTAGTATTTTGGTCTCTAAAAATATAAAATTTTAAAAAAAATTGTAAAAATATAAAAACATTAATTCAATATAAAATTTGAAAGAAATGCATGGCTTAAATAATAATATTAATATAGATTTGGAAATTAAAATGATAATAAATAATTATTTTTAGAAATTTAATTGAAATAATGAAAAATTTTAAAAATTTATTTTTTAATTTTGATATGTTCACAAACTAAAGTGTTAGTATTATACATCTTCAAGTCTTTTACCTAATTTTTTTTATTACGATATTTGCAATACTTTCATATATATATATATATAGGAAATGTTAATATACTTTTACCTATTTTTTAGTTAAAGTATGTTAGTAACCTACACTAAAATTTTATGACAAAAAAATCACTCATTTATTTTGATTTGATTAATTTATATAAAAGATATTATAGTAATTTTATTTTATTTTAAATAAAAATAAAATATTTTTTCTTTTTTATTAATTTCATTCTCTAAGTCATTTCTCTCTCCTATTAAATTCCTTCTCCAACCTATTTCTCTTTCCTATTAAATTTCTTTTCTAACTTATTTATTTCTCTCCTATTAAATTCTTTCTTTAACTCATTTCTCTCTCATCTCTCATGATGTTTCCACTCTCTCTTTGAACAAATAAAAAAATAATTAATAGGAAAAAAAATGAGTTGGAGAATGAAGTTAATAAGAGAGAGAAAATATTTTTTTAATTAAATTAAATTAAATTACTATAATATCCTTTATACAAATTAACCAATTCAAAAGAAATGAGTAGTTTTTTTATCCTAAAATTTTGGTGTAGGTTATTAACATACTCCAACTAAAAAATAGGTAGGAGTATATTAGCATTTCCCTATATATATATATAGGGAGTATATCAAGTGAGGAAATGGATCCTCTAACTTTATGGAGGGAAAGTTATGGTAACTTAATACATTTAAACTGTTGAATTTGCAATAATAGATCAGATTGTGACATGTGTACATTTAAGTCAAAATATATATTGTAAAATTTGGGGATTCGTAAAATTAATCTAAGGGTTATATTTTAACTCTCTCATCTCTCATAATAAATTTCCTCTCACTTGATACACTCCTTATATATATATAAATGTGTTTACAGTGACATGGCACACTTAAAACTTTACACTGACAGTGTATAGGTTATTAACTTATATATATATATATATATTGAAATTTCAACAGTAACATTGTTTGATCCTAACCACTTTTGTTGTTACGTTCATATTTATATATATATATATCATTATGGTTCTTTTTTATATAAATTTTCTATAATTAGTTAAAATTTATTAAAAAAAACAAATTTTTTTATAGATCTTTTGTAGTTTTCAATAATTTTAATCAATAAGAGTAAATGATTAAGTGTGTTATAAGAGGAGTGTGTTGATAGCACTACTCTTACATATAATGTAATCTAAAATAAAGTAATAATAAAAATATATCACTTTTAGTGTTCACTTTTTATTTATTTTCATTTGTATCCTTTAATTAATTATCATAAAAAATTGTCCATTAGAAAAAAAAAACACTTATCAATTAATTACAAAACAAACTCACGTTCTACTACAAATACGAAGTGTCTTTTTTTTCATATTAGTATAAATAGAAGAAATAATGAGAAAAGTCAAAACAAAGAGATGAAAATATTAAAAAGGGGTATGAAAATAATTGTTGATTTTTTTTATTTCTTCAATTATTTTGTATAAATTAATATTTCTTTTATTGTATATTATTTTTTAGGCTTAAATATGTTTAGTTTCTCAAATTTAGGGTAAGTATGTTTTTTGTCTCTTAAATTTAAAATAACAATATTTAGTTCCTATAATTTTCAAAAATCTTGTTTTAATTTCTCAAGTTATCAATAACATATCTGAAAGTAACAAATTGAGACAGTTATGTATCACCTAGGTTTAATGTGATGTTTTTACTAACATGGACACCAATAGATAGATTTTATGCTACAATATTTAATAGATTTTCTTACAAAATTTTAGCATAAAAACTAAAACAAAATTTTGAGGCTATATTTGGCAATAATTGTGGTGGCCTTTTTGGGATACTCTAACGTAGTTAGCTTAAACGAGTTGTTTGACCGACAACTCGATATTTTTATTTAGTACTAGAATATTATATATATTTATATACTTGTATAGTGTTATTTTATTTCATTCAGTTATTGTTTGAAAATTTACGTGTGTGTGTGTGCGTGTGCATGTGCGTGTGCGTGTGCGTGTGCGTGTGCGTGTGTGTGTGCGTGTGTGTGTGCGTGTGTGTGTGCGTGTGTGTGTGCGTGTGCGTGTGTGCGTGTGCGTGCGCGTGCGCGTGCATGTGCGTGTGCGTGTGTGTGTGTGTGTGTGTTTGTGTGTGTCTGTGTGTGTGTTTGTGTGTGTGTCTGTGTGTGTGTGTGTCTGTCTGTGTCTGTGTGTGTGCATCTATTCAAATATTGTATACATATTAACTTTTGGTATATATTATTCAACTTTCATTTCTAATGTCTATCTTTTCTCTATAACACTCTTAAGGTTTTAGAAAACTAACACATTATGACCTAACTCTTTTCTCCTCTCTCTTATTAATAAGGCTTTAGGTTGGATTCAAGTGTCCAAATCAAAAGGCTTATCACAAACTCCTAATTCATCTCTATTTTTTTTTAATTATTAAAAACATCCTTTTATTTATGTTATAAGCTCTATTAAATAAATTAATTAAATCTGTTATAAATATTATTTAAGAAACTTTATTTTTTTTTACTTTGAAAATCAAGATATTACAACTCTCCCCCCTTACTAAAAATTCACCCTTGAATTTACCTGTAACAAACAACTTTGGGTATGCTTCCTTCATATTGCTCTCAAGCTTCCAAATAGCACACTTAGAAGCAATTCCTCCTTAGACAACCTCAAATCAAAGGAATATGGTTTCCCTCTAAGCTTTTTAAGTTTAACCCTTAGATCTTCAACACTTATTGGTAAGGTCTCAACAATCAAGTTATGTTTTACTTCAAGATTGTTTAACTCTATCACGTGTGATAGACCATGGACATACTTATGAAGTTGGGATACATGAAAGACACTATAGAGATTTAAAATATGTGGAGGTAAAACAACTTGGTAAGCTACTTTATCAACTCATTTAAGAATTTGATATGTATCAAGCAAAGTGTAAGTTTTCTAGACTTTAAGGTTCTATCAATCTCAGTCCATGGAGTGATTCTCAAGAATACATGTTCACCTTCCTAGAATTCTAAGTTCTTCTTCTCCTTATTCACAACTTTTTTCCTGCTCTAGGTTGCTCTCACTCTATCTTGAATCATTTTAATAACTAATTATTTTAAATATCATATCCTCTCTAAATATAAATTAGTATCATTATTTTAAATGATATTATTTTTGAATAGTTATTTACATATACTAATTATTTATTAAAAAAATAATTGTATAAACTAGACATTCATTTTGTGTATCACACAAATTGAAATATTAAATTTAAATTTAAATTTTGTTGATAAAAAGTTTTTTTTTTTTTTACTTTTCTTAGTTTTTATGAATATATATAAATTAAAAATATCAAAGTGTTTAAAGTCTTAAATATTATTTTTTTAATCCATCGAAATTTGAAATGTTGTTTCAATCTGAATGTGAAATTTTAGTGTAATTAACTTATTAAAATTATGGCTTTAATTAAAACATTTAAAACAAATGAATTGAAAGGTAAGTATTGTACAGAAAAGATAGACACTAAAAAATGAGTTAAATAGTGTATATCAAAAACTCACATGTTTTCAAGTATGTGAAGTAGTATCTGCAATAAATGAAAGGTCAGTAAAGGTAATAAACATAGTGTTTTTATACTGCTCCATTTCAACTATCGAGACTACGTCCAGTTCTTAATCCAATCAGATTGGGTTCCACTAACTTTTAGAAAAGTTACAAGCATTTTTTTACCAAGCCACTTCTATCTCAAACAAGTGTTCTTCGAGTGACCTCTTCAAACCATTACCCAAGTATTCTTTTACGAACAAGCCTTTCCAAGATCAACCCCAAGTATTCTTTTATAGACAAGCCTCTCCAGGCTCAAACCCAAGTATTCTTTTACAAATAAGCCTCTCCAAACTCAAACTCAAAGTATTCTTCTTCAGTCAAGTCTCTCCAGGCTCTACCTTATAACAATGGTTATAAAGGTATTACAAGGTTGCAGTTGTTGTCTCT